AAGTCTTCTTACAGCCTTTAAAGCTATGAAAAAATGGAAGACCAACTGAACGAGCATTGCCCACCTGCTGGGCAATTTCATGCACAGGAATGTACCTGAAGTTCTCGCATCCAAAAGCAATCCAGAGCTCACGAAGTTCCTGAAAGTCTTGCCTAACTGATATGACAATCACCACAACATCACTGTCAGTTGTTCTGATTATAACCCGTTTGTGTCTATTGGCAGCTCTATATGTAACATGGACAAAAATGCAGGTGTCCGCCTCCTCATGCAAACAAGGAGGGTTGATATCAGCTGCTTCCCTAATTGAAGTTTTGTCTTTTCAATTTCATCACTCATAAGTGTGAACAATTCAGTTTTGTTGGCATTAACTTGCAGAAACCCTGTGAAGTTGCCAGGTACCTTGGTCTGCGTATACATGTGCCTCGACTCTCTCTGGTGTCAGCTTTCAAACTCTCTTGCTTATAGATGTCCCATATAATGTCCAGTCTTGCAAGATTTTCCAGCCAAGCTAACAAATGAGGAAACACTTTGCCATGAATGTAATTACCTATTGTCATGGAACTCCCAGGCTTGATAAGTTGCACAATTGCTGGACCATCCAGTACTGCAGCATCACTTTGAGGACGAGCTGAAGGCATAAGGTGAGCTTCTCCCTCTAGGAGTGTTAGGATGTCAGCTTTAGTACCATGGAACATATGTCCATTGCAAGAAACTGATGGTGGGCTGGAGCTGCTCTCGTGTGAAAATACATTATTGTTGATTTCACATTCTGAATTTGCAGCAAGCAGTAGCTGTATGACTTTTAACCTCTGCCTTTTGTCTATTCAATTGTGGGTATGGATCTAAGAGTTCCAGCTTGTTCCTGGGCATAGGTGCAGTCCATAGATTTGTTCTCTCCCTTGGAGGTTCAATACGCTTATCAAATATATCCAAATAGAATATTATACATCTGTACAGATATACAGCAATCTGTCTAAATGATTTCAAATAACATCTATATTTCTAATGTGCAACTTACTTCATCTGTCATAATTAGAGAGCCATCAAGCTCAATCAGCTTCCTAGAATCTTCAAGGAATGGATTCCCAGGGTCAACAAATGCCTCAACTAGTGTCTGGACATCTGCTTGGAAGGTATGCTGAAACTTAGCATACTGTTCATGA